TCGGAGGAAATGGCAGAATCAAATGTTGTTTTGGATCCATTACTAAGAGAATTCGAGTCAGTTTTTAACATGCCACAGGGTTTACCACCGGAAAGAGGTAGGGAGCATAGTATTGTGTTAAAAGAAGGGACATAAACGATCAATGTTCGGCCATACCGTTATCCTCATTACCAGAAAGATGAAATCAAGAAGTTAGTGAAAGAGATGCTCGAGGCAGGAGTTATTCAACCGAGTATGAGTCCTTTTTCCAGTCCAGTATTGTTGGTTAAGGAAAAAACCGGAAGTTGGCGATTTTGTATCGATTATCGAGCTTTGAACAAGGTGATAATTGTTGATAAGTTTCCAATTCCGGTGATTGAAAAGTTGTTGGACTAATTGTACGAGGCAGTCGTATTTTCTGAACTCGATTTAAAATCGGGTTACCATCAAATTCGAATGAAAGAGGATGACGTGTATAAAACAGCTTTATGAACCCATCAAGGACATTACGAGTTCTTGGTAATGCCCTTTGGATTGGTTAATGCTCCGGCGACATTTCAAGGATTAATGAACGAGGTCTTCAAGAAATATTTGCAGAAGTTTGTGTTGGTATTTTTTGATGATATTTTGGTCTACAGTAAAACTCTTGAAGAACATCAGGTGCATTTACGAAAAGTGTTAGAGGTTCTTTGTCAACACCAGTTGTTTGCTAATAAAAAGAAGTGCGAGTTCGGTCGAGATTGTTTGGGGTATTTGGGTCATATAATTTCAGCAAAAGGAGTAGAAGTTGACCCGTCGAAAATTGCTGCAGTTTTGGATTGGGTGGAACCGAAGTTGGTAACCGAATTGAGAGGATTTTTGGGGTTGTCCGGGTATTATAGAAAGTTCATTAAGGGGTATGGTATTCTAGCCAAACCACTCACCGACCTCCTGAAAAAGAACCAATTTCAGTGGACTACGGAAGCTCAACGAGCGTTTGATGAATTGAAGAAAATGCTATCTTCAACTCCGGTGTTACGCCTTCCTGATTTTTCTAAAGATTTCGTGGTGGAGACAGATGCTTCGGGTTATGGTCTGGGAGCGGTTCTTATGCAAGATGAACAGCTGATCGCATATTTTAGTCAAGCTTTGGGATTAAGGGCGAAGCAGAAGTCGGTTTATGAAAAAGAATTGATGGCTATTGTGTTGGCTATAAAAAAATGGAGACCGTATTTGTTGGGAAAAAAGTTTTTAATACGTACCGATCAACAAAGTCTTCGTTTTCTGTTGGAGCAACGGGTGGTGGAACTAGAGTACCAAAAGTGGGTCAGTAAACTACTGGGATACGACTTTTCAATTGTCTACAAACCGGGTAGTTCCAATCAAGCTGAGGACGCGCTTTCTCGTAAGATCGAATCGGTAGAATTTTGCCAATATGGCGAATTTTCAGTGGAGAAATTGGGACGACCTGAAACAAGAAATTGTTGGTGATAGTTTCTTGAACCGTATCAAGGACGACTTAATGACTGGGAAAGCCGAGCATAAAGGGTTCGAGATTCAACAAGAGTTATTATATAAAGGTCGTCTTGTTATTCCTCGCTTTTCCAAAATGATTTCGTTAATTTTTGATGAATTTCATGGATCTCCAATTGGCGGTCATACAGGAGAAGATCGGACGTATCAACGTATCTCATCGGAAGTCTTTTGGATGGGAATGAAGAAAGATATAGTTGAAATGGTTAAAAAATGTGAGGTGTGTTAGAGGAATAAAAGTCTTAGTGGCAGCCCGACTGGTCTTTTGCAACCATTATCTTTGCCTGAGAAAGTATGGGACGAGATTTCCATGGATTTCATTGAAGGTCTACCTCGGTCAAACGGTATGAGCTCGATCATGGTAGTTGTGGACAGGCGTAGCAAGTATGCCCATTTTGTTGGGTAAAACACCCCTTTAATGCACAAACGGTAGCCGAAGCTTTCGTAAAAGATGTAGTAGAGTTACACAGGGTTCCTCAGTTGGTGATTTCTGATCGAGACAAGGTGTTCCTTAGCCATTTTTAGAAGGAGTTGTTTCGTTTGCAAGGAACAAAATTGAAGTTCAGTTCAGCGTACCATCCGCAGTCCGACGGACAGACCGAGGTAGTAAACCGTTGCTTGGAGCAATATTTGAGATGTTGGGTGTCATCTACACCTAAACAATGGTACAAATGGCTTCCATGGGCTGAACTCTCGTATAATACAGCCTATCATACAGCCCTTAAAGAGTCTCCTTTTAAGGTATTGTATGGTAGAGATCGTCCTCCTCTACTCCGTTATAAAGCAACTTCATCGAGGGTGCAATCGGTAGATCAAGAGTTGACTGATAGGGAGGAAATGCTTGATGAAGAGAAATTGCACTTGCTTAAAGCTCAATTTCGTATGAAACAGTATGCTGATTTGAAGCGAAAAGAAGTGGTGTTTTTGGTAGGAGATTGGGTTTTCTTGAAGTTGCGACCTTACAGACGGAAGTCGCTGGTACTTGGGAATAGTCCTAAACTTCTAGCTCGTTTTTATGGCCCGTATAAAGTGCTGGAGCAGATTGGGAGTGTGGCATATAGTTTGGATTTACCGAGTTCAGCAAAGATTCATCCGTTTTTTCACGTTTCTCAATTAAAGAAGGCTGTGGGAAGTTGTATTTCGACTCACGATTTTCCAACTCAGATTTCTGAAGATTTGGTGCTACAAGCCGTCCCCGAAGACATCTTGGATATGAGACCATTACCGAATGGTGATGTGGGTCAATTTGAAGTTTTGGTAAAATGGGAAGGAATGTGTGATTTGGAAGCTTCTTGGGAGAATCTAGAGGCACTTCTGCAGCAGTTTCCTAGTTGTCACCTCGAGGACAAGGTGAAATTTTTGGGGGGGAGTATTGATAAACCTCCTTTGAGGTTTACTTATAGAAGAAGAAACTAATTGAGTCTAATTGTTTATGTCGAGTCTTACTGTAAACATGAATAAAGGAGGGGTAGATTGGTAATTTTTGTTTTGCTTAAATGGGGTGCTGTTAGGGAAGTCGGTATTCTGTTTTCATTCTCTGGACAGTGTTGTTTAGAGCGTAAGGTCAGGGAGAGAATCCCAGACCTCTCGAAAGTCTGGGAGTTGTACAATTCTTGTTATCGCAAGCAATTTACCGGCAATTTCATCTTTGTGTGTTTCCATTATCGAATTACAGTTTCGTATAGTTCAACGTTGTGTGTTTCCATTTACGTTTTCCAGTAGTGTATAACAATTTCACATATATATGCATATACCCACATCATGGATCAATTATAACAATTAATCACATACTCATGTAACCACATAATCAAATAATTACCTCAAACGTATAACCGGAACCTGGTTATCACAGTGTTGTGTTGGACATAAGAGATTGTTTCTGGGTTGTACCGGAAGTGTCATTATCATTATCGGTTTCACTCCCATGGTTCCTTAATGTATTTAGTCATCAATTGTAGATGGTTTGAGGGTGGAGAGATGGATCTAATACCATGCAGAAATTATGAATAAGAGAAAGAAATGATTTCTCTTTTTTATTATATCTCAAATTACATAGAAGAACAATATTTATAGCTATAGGACTGAAACTACCAGCCCTTTATTCTAGGTAAATGAAAACAGCATTATCCTACTAACAAACTCTCAAAGAAAGTGTAAACCTATCTTAGAGATAACAATGAAACAAATTTTCCACATATACCTATTGTTAGATATAGTAAATTAGCGTTTTGCTTTCTTAGTATGCTTTTCTTAATTAGGTTCTTTGCTTGTATACATACTGTGTAGAGTTCCCTACTAGTTTAATGAGAGAGACATCACCTTATTTGAGTAGTTACATGGTATCAAGTGTCAAGTCAGAGTACAAAGCCATGGCAGATGTGCCATGCGAAATGACGTGGGTAAAGAGTCTTCTAGGAGAGCTTGGAGTAATCATAGACGACTTGATGAGACTGTATTGTGATAACCAGACAGCTATTCATATTGCCAAGAATCAAGTATTCCATGAGAAGACCAACCTAGAAGCAGCCACCCTCGAAAGAGCGTATAATAGCTCACTGATCGAGTGCAATATTGAGGTTGATTGTCATCTATTCAAGGACCTGTGGTGGGAACCCAGGAAAACCCTCCATCGATCCAACCAGTATATATCTGGATCGAGTACCAGCTTCTACATCCTCACGAAGCCATTATGAGGAGTTGCGCATGATTAACATCTTCGCTCCAATTTGAGGAGTGTTAGATATAGTAAATTAGGGCTTTGCTTTCTTGGTATGCTTTCCTTTATTAGGTTGTTTGGTTGTATATATTGTGTAGAGTTCCCTACTAGTTTAATGAGAAATACATCACCTTATTTGAGTACTTGCACATACAATTTCAATATATCCAACAATAGTAAAGGATAAGGAACAAAAAAAGAGAGAAAGATGAGTATGTTCCTTATTTCTTAACATATAAGAGTTTCCAAATCTCAAATGCAAGAGAGGGTAGATTTTACATCATTATGCGAAAGCTACTTGTTGTAGGACTTATATTAGCATTTTCCAGTTTCATAACTAAATGCACAAACAAGATTCACTGTCTTATGTACAAACTAAAACTGTTCAGGTGTAGGCATACGGTAGACATTGGTTTATTTCACAGCCATGTCAAAAACTACCACATTATCATAAGACTCCCATGACAATAATTAATTGTACAGCTCTACTTGATACCAGTCAAGCAACTTGACTCAGAAAAAGGCCCTTTCCTTGGAAAATCAGGCTATATTTGAAGTTTTTTGCACACTTGGATTTTATTTCCTTCTCCTTCTGTGGATAGCAACTTCATCACTTGATTGACTGATACAAGATTGATATTTTGTAGTTTTCTAGCTTCGTTCTTTTTCTTTCTTCTGTTTCTTTATTGGGTTTCACAAAATATGGGAAGTCTCTGTCGTTATATCCTGTGTTACGTGTCAGGAACTTATATTTTAAAAGTGCATGAGAAGTATTTCTGGTTGACTTGTGCAGACCAAAGTGGCCTGATTCATCATTTGTTTCTTCTGAAGGACTGGTTACAGCTATGGCTTATCGTCTGCCACATGTGGTTAGCTTCTTTTTTTTTTATGTACATTCATCATATACAGTAGTTGAAATGGGCTCTGCATCTTAAAATATTCTCCTGCTCACTGATTTATATGTCAGGTCATGGGTGATAGGTTAGGGAACATTCGGTGGTGGGATGTGACAACTGGGCAATCTTCCTCTTTCAACACTCACAGGGAAGGCATTAGAAGAATCAAGTTCTCCCCTGTTGTTCCTGGAGATCGTAGCCTTGGACGTATTGCTGTATTGTTTAATGACAATACGTTTTCTGTGTTTGATCTTGTAAGTGGGAAAAGTAGCATGAGTTGCTTCTTTTCTTACTTGGTGTTTGTCAGCTATGTTGCAACATATTTACATGAAGTCAAGCCAGTAACAGGAAGTGCAAAGTCGAATGTAGGTACATATCAGACAGTCTACGAGGCTGCATTAAGCTTTCAAAATTAGAAATCAAAGGCGATCTTTCTCTTGAGATTGCAGTAACTGCTACCTAGAAAATTTCCATTTTGGGACATTTGCACCGACTATGAAACGCTTCCTGGGTCTTGGTCCACAATAGTATTTTTCCACTTATATACAAGTTTCATACTCATGTATGTTATGTTTTACTTCATACGTGGACGTTTCTGTCATCCTATTCTCATTTTGCATACCCCCAAAAGAAAAGCAAAGGGATATAACTTCAATCGTTTTTTTTTCAGGATTCACAGGACCCATTAGCCAATTCCCTATTACTGACTCAGTTTCCAGGAACCCTTGTGCTGGAACTTGATTGGTTACCTGTCCGAACCGATAAGAATGATCCATTGGTATTGTGTATCGCTGGAGCTGATAGTAGCTTTCGCCTTATTCAGGTTAACATGTATGCATCACATCTAACCAAGCTCGCTGAACAACTTGCTTTGTTTTCCTGTCAGAACGCTCTATTTTTATGGTTCTGTTTCAATGGCTTTAAAGAAACTTGTGCTGATAGGAACTACAAGGAATTGGGGTGATTATAGGGTTTATGGGTCTTGTTTCTAAAATGTCATGAAATAAAACTCATTTAGAGCTTTTCAGTGTATTTTTTGGCCTGGACACGAGTGACTTTAATCATTAATGATAGCATTTCAGTTAAGTTCTAGTGATTCGTGTGAAGTGGTTAAAGGCTATTGTGCCAGGTTGTGGCGTATTTTTGCAGCTCAAGTTCAGCAGGCTCTATTCTTCAACTCCACACAGAACTTCAAATAACTTGTTCAAGAGGATGATTCCACTTTCCTTTTTCTCATTCAGCATGAATGTGCAAGAAAAGTTTGTGGGCTTGCAATTATTTAAACATGTCTATGTGGTTTAGAGATCCCTTAATTTGGTTCGACTTTTTGAAAACTATTAATGGATGTTCATTGTGTTCTGAACATATATTTATGACCCAATCTAACCTTCAGTAAGTGATTATGTATTGTATATAAATAAATAGTCCATCTTGTAATGGAGGTGTAATTAACTGGTCTTTACAAGGTAATACATTTGGGCCACTGTTGTGTTTCACGCCTTACATATGCCCTGTAACATTTTCAATCTCTTCATTCAGTGACAAAAAAGTTGGTTATGGAGCGCAGCCTGGATCTGTGAAGGAGCGATTTCGGCCAATGCCGTTATGTTCTCCTGTATTGCTTCCTACAGCACATGCCTTGGTAAGATTGTTTTTTATCTTCGTCTTTGTCTACCTTTACATGATGCCAAAATAGCTAATAGAGAAGAGAAACTACATCCTTCATCCAAAACTACGTTTCCCCCCTTAATAAAATTGTTTAGGCCAAATTCTCGTAATTGAAAAGTTAGCCTTCTGTCTCTGCTGTTGTTTGGAAAGATGCAAGTCATCTGTACATAATATATAAAAACCAAGACTTCTGTTCTCTTCAGGTTAATATGATTAGTTCACACCCCAATTATAATTAGCTATGAGATTTCTTATTATCTGTTTTTTGCATAAAAAGACGCTCATAAGGTTTTATTTGTCACAACTGACATTGACACGAATATCATATCCTTCAATTATTAACTATTAGGACTTTGACTGCTTTCTCCAACTGGAGCAAATCTTAAGAGTCAAATAATAAGCTATTGTAATCAATTCACATTTCTTATTGAATTATATTCACTATAGCTAAACCATCTAATGTCAATCTAACACCTGCGAATAGGATGGGGAATCGAATTGTATGATTCAAAAGAATTGCAAAATATAAATGACATAATCTATCGGAATTTTCATCTGTTCTTATTCATCATATTTGGAGTTCTATGAAATCATTTTTTTTCCATTTACAGCAAAATGCCTCATTTGTTCCTTCATCTAATCAGGGGATTAAGCCATTAAGGTTTAAGCTGCATTGAGTGCACTTATCTATCTCTCTCTCTCTCCCCCTGTGTGTTAAGCACTCCCTTCAGATTATCGAAGTCTACTTCAATATTTTGGAAATTCATACTTTTTAGTTACGCTCTTTGAAGCGCTTATGCACTTGATATCTCTTGTTCCCTTCCAACTTAGTAATCCTTTCTGAACATCACCCTGTTTCCATGTATGGTAATGACAGAGGGATTACTACGGGTTTCGTGATTATTAAGCTAGATGTGCAATAAATCTGATGAGTTACTCACCAAAAAACATATCAAGAGAACAAAATTGTGATAAGAGTCTTACATTTCCCTTCGATATTGAATGTTGAGGGTTAAATCTAAATTGATTGCATTGTAATCTATTCCATTTTTTTGTAATAGATAGTTACTTTCAAACAAATAGTTTTGGGCTAATCCTATTGAATCATAGGATATGTAACATGAGGTGAAGGATAGTGTGAAGAGAGTTAAGGTGAGAAGCGTAAGAAGGGATCTAGACCCTTGATTACTTTTAATCTCAAACCCATCCATAAATCACGCTTGATACGGGGATTGATCCTGTGCAATCGGTGCATCTCATCCTAATGTGCATCCAAGGGTGGAGATCTGTCACACCCCGCCTAGGCGGAAACGCGAAGTGTAACGGAGAGGATTGTCATAACACAATGATATGATAATAGAGAACTCACTAAATGAATACTAATCCAAGTGTCATGACGTCTCTTCCTCGTCACAAGTGGAGACTTGTACCGTGGTTAGACAATTCCATGGCATCACATAGTCAACAAAATTTCAAACAAAAATACTTGGCCACAAGCAAAAAAAAACCACGCGGGGAATCTCTTAGGTCTCTCCAAGGTCCACAAGCAACCCTAGCACTCTTAGCCATTTTGATGAGTATTACCTGAAAATGAATACTCGAAAATGTCAACATAATGTTGGTGAGCTCGTAGGTTTAAATAACAAAAGAGGATTTGCTGTGTATCGAGAGCGTTTAGGACAACARTGTGTATACATATATCGCAATTCAGCACTAATACATAGGAATAATTGTATAACCAATTTAATCATACAACAAGAACATGATAGGTTTCCAAACATGTCATCTACCAGCTGGAGCTAAACCGTTGGCTTAACAGGAATATAGGAATCACATCTCATATAGGAATCAAACACTAGTACTTTCATTGCAATAGTAAACACACAAATTGTCCAAATAAATAAAAGAAAA